CGACCGCCTGAGTGAGGAAGGTGAGAGTGTGCGGTATCGAGCGACAAGTAGCGTGTGCGATCGCCACGGTGCTGATGACCGACACCGACCCTACCGTGTCGACGATCGCCGACGCAGCGAGGATAGCGGCGACTAGCATGTTGACGGAAGAGGCGGTAGGGGAGAACACCACGGCATCCTTCACGGTGTCGACGAAAACTCAACATTAACAACAACAACATCATCATTGTCAATAACAACAACAATAACAACAGCAACAACCATGTTACTACCAACAACAATGTTAACCATGTTAGAGATGCCAACGACCATGGCAACAACACCAACAATAATGTTAATAATTGTAGCAACAACACCAATACTAATGTTAACAACAACAACATCATCATTGTCAATAACAACAATAACAATAGCAACAACAATAACAACAGCAACAACAACAACAATAACAACAACAATAACAACAGCAACAACAACAGTAATAATAATAATAATGATAATAACAATGACAATGATAATAATATAAACTTGGAAGCATGAATATTGTAATATGATGATATGGCTGATTTTTGCTTTTTATTTTGTTGATTTACTTTATGGTCGTTTTTTCAGTAATTTTTAAAATTTTAATTTTAATTTATTTTGTTTAATTTTAATATATATATATCTATGTAAATAATTTAAAGTTAATTTTATAAATATGTTAAATATATAGTATATAATAATTAATAATAATATTTTCAAAAATGTTTCGCGCTTAAAGTTATACTGTATGACGTCATTTGTTTATAAACGGTAATTTTCGTTATTATTTAAAAATATTTTGCACTGACGATGATATATTTTATATCGAAAAAGCTATTTGCAATTATTTATATTAATAAACATGAACAATAATAATTTTAGTTTTTTACTTAATAAATTAAATAATTATAATAAAATTTTAATTATAAAATATGAAAAATTAATGTATAAACATAATTGTATGAACGCGGTTGATTTTTTTTGAAAACTGTATATATATATAAATATATGTATACATATATATATGGTAATCTAGTGTATATATATATATATATATATATATATATTAGTGGTTCAAAAAAAATTTTTTTTTAATATTTAAGTGCACACCCCCTATATTTTTTCCTTAGCTGAAAGTTAGCATGTGTGCCAAATTTCATTCAATTCTGACAATATTTAGAGGTTGCTCAATGACATTCAGTTTTTCACCATATTTAGCATATAAGCGAATATTGGTCAGTGCTACAATTTTGTGTTTAATGTTTATTTTGCAGTAAAATGAACATTCTTGTGAAAATCATGTAAGATTTAACAGTTCTACAAATTTATACTCAAAATAACAAAATATTCAACACTAAACAAACAGTTCTCACAAGGTAAAGGCAACTTGATTATGCCAAACGAAAGTTCAGTACTGTTAATCTTTGATTGAGAAACTGAAATTAACTTGAGGCAATTAATGTACTTAGTTTATGTTTTTCTGTTAATCACTCATAGTATGTCAGACTCAAAACATAGCAGCAGCTGCTTGAGCACTGGCTAATGTGCGCTTAGAGGAGTCCGGAATACGTGTTCGATTGTCCTCCACCACCTGTATCAGTTTTTGCAGTTCTGTTTCATTTTTGGTTATAGACTGGTTAAAATTTGTCATGAGTGCCACAGTGCGTTCTGCAGTGTCATTAACGACCTTAAGTGACTTCACAACATTTGCTACTTTTTGAAATAAAGGAAAATCATTACATGAGTCTGGTTCAGTTTCACGCAAGATAGCAACATCCATTCCAAGTGATAACAATGCAGCACGAGATGTACCTGATACCAGATCATGCCGTGGTTTGCTTTTCACCTGTTCCAGTTCAGTTGCAGGATATTTGACACCTCGCACACTCCAGTCAGAATCTACTGCAGTCATTGCTTCCACAATCAACTGCTTCTCAGCATTTGCAACCTTATTTGAGAACAATGACAGCCAAACCATTTCTGTACCGAGATACCACAGATGATTCTTCAACTTTTTTGTGGCAGCACTTGCTACATTCTTGTTGATTTCAGAGTATTGTTCAATTCTGCTCAGAAGTTGCAGGTCATTGACTGGTGCATCACTGGGTATTGGGCACAACATCCATGCTGGCACATATTTATGGGTTGCAAATAGGCAGAATTCAGTTAAACTTTTTGTTTCAGTTGCTGTTAGCTTGAATTCATTGCGGAACAAATACATTTTGAGACAGTAGATCACTTTGGCCATCCATCTGGCCATGTGATATGCTCCAGGAACACGGAAATGGTACTTGCCATCAGTCTGCATTGGATAACTCAGCACTAAGAGACAAAGTTCAACCAACTCCTTGTAATCCTCTCGTGGGATGTATGAGCTGTCAGCTGAAAGAAAACATGTCAAACATGGTACTATGTCAGACCGCATCATCTGTAGCAATGAGTGGTTCATCCTGTCATCATCAAGTGGCTTGTGGTTTGACTGATTTATATTTGGCCAGTAGGCTCGAAATCTTTCAAACATTCCAATGTTGAGGCCACGGCTTGGACCAAACAGAACTGTGAAAACTTCACCGATTATCAATTCATGTACATGATGACGACAAGCAAAGTGCAAGAGATTTATATGGAGCAGTTTCTCCAGCAAAACACATGCTCCACTTGACGTCCCAGTATTGGCAGAAGTAGTATCAAAGCACATGCCTATAATGTCTTCACTAACGTCCCATAATTTGAGCAACTGAAAAGTTGCATTGGCCTGTGCTTGTCCCGTGTTTGATGCAATTTTAACAATTCCTAAGATTTTCTCCACATTACAGCCAGTCACAACAACAGCCAGTCTATCAGTTCTGGAGTGTGGATCATCATTCATGATCTTCCCATCCCAGTGAACCAGAAGGGGGTTTCTGTCACGATCCTGAAATTGTTGATGAATACTGCTGTCAATGGTTGATCGATGTTGCTGTCGTTTACGATGAACTGTGGAACGTGACAGAGATGTATCCTTGATGTCTTGCCCACTAGCTTGTGCAATGGCTGCTGCTAATACTGTGAACTTTCTATCTGACAGGTTTATTCTATCCAGTGCTGAAGCAACATCTGGCGACGACAACATATCCTGCACAGTTCGTGTTTTTTTGCTGGCACTGCTTGACAGACTGTCTTCTACTTCATTGATCTGCTTTTTGTAGTACACTGGAATTTCAATTTCATAGTTGTCCTCTGTGTCCTGCTGTTCACTATCACTGTCATCAGAACTAGATAAATGTAGTGAGGTACTTTCTGTCATCCGCTCCTGCTCTCGCTCTTTTCTCTCTTCTTCTTTGCATTTACGTTGTTCTGTGCGCTCTTCTTTCTTAGTCAGGTCTTTATCAATGTCACTCATTTGCATTCGTCGACTGCCCCTCTGGTCTTCAAGAAATTCTATATCTTCCTGAATTCGGATGAGCTGCATGGCGTGTTGGTGAGCAATATCAAACAGCATGTGCTCCTTTTCTTCAAATTCCTTCTCTCGTGCTCGTTGTGCTTCACTTTGTCTGTTTTTGTTCTTTTTTATTAGCTTGTAGTCATCAACTACCGACTTTACTTTTTCTACAACATGAGTATGATAGGTTGTTGGTATTCTAGCCTTGTTCCACATGTCCATGACCTTATCTGACGACAGTTTTGCACTTTCAGGCACAATTTTCTTTTCTACTTGATGATAATAAAAAAACATTCTCAGGACATCACCTGTTGTAGGCAATACATTTACTGGAAGTTCACTTTGTAACTGTCCAATCAGCCATATGTTAGTCATGCTGCGTGTTGTAAGAGCACCACAGTTTGAATTAGAAGCCATTTTATACGTAGTTAAATATGTACAGTACCGTTATTTCAAAATCACCTCAAATTACTAGTAAATCGACACAGTTAAATTATGCAGATATTTATCCTATTTTACTTTTTGCTGACAACAAATATGGTAACCATAGAATATTTAATAATAATAATGCATTTTAAAATATCTAATATCTATGTTTTGAATTAAGTAAGTAACCAACTTTTGATACTTTTCCAGTTATATTTGTATTTGGTTTCGAAATAATGAATTATCACATTTTTATATAATTTTGAGATGCATGAGCAACCTTTAAATTTAATTTGATTTGTCTTATTTTTCGTTTGTAAGTTTTTAGGACCCAGTGGAAACTTTTCAGAGGGTGTGCACTCAAATCAGACAAAAAATTTTTTTCCCCATTCAAATGTGAACCACCCTAATATATATATATATACTAGATTACCAGTAAATAAGATAAATAAGATCTAAACTTTATTAGAAAATAATTTTAAAACAAACAAAACAAATCCATATTTAATAAAAAAAGCATATTTTGAATGAAGCATGTAATTTTGTTATTATTTTCGATACATCATGTTGCTTATTACAAAATTGAGTTTTCCTGAAACACTTGCTATTTATAATGTTCAAATTTGATACTGACAGACACACACTGCTATGAAACAGTTTGTTAATCATGAAATGTCATCTAGTTTATTTCTCGTATTAAATAGATAGAGTGCTAAAAACGTTGGCTTTAGGAATGGTGGTATCGTGGGGATCGAAGCACTTTTGCTGCAGGCCAGTTTCGTTATCAATCTTGCATGCCGTATATAAAAATTCCTGATGTTTTTTAGACAACTGACTCGCTTTGTAAGAATAGGAATGTTTGTTCAAACAAAGTTTCTCAACTTATTCGTCAAACGACTATGCATGCGAGTGATGGATAAGTAGCATTAGTAGTACACACACACTTTAAATTTAGTAAAATTTATCTAATGTGTATGCTACTAATTTTGAGAAATTTAGCTCGAGGATAAGCGTCGATGTAATATTTAAAAACAAACATTAAATACCTCAATAACTGAGTAAAATAACAATAGGTGACTCCCAGCAATGTGATCTAGAACCTACCTTAATTTAATGATACTGACATTGAATTTCAACAAAATCTGTTTCAATTCGACTATTTACCATAATATCATAATATCAAAATTTATTCTTCTGTGTCCAATTTAACTGAGCATTTATAATGACTTTTTCAAAAATATATTTTACAAACAATATTCAATTTTAAATAAAAAAATGTATTATACTAACCATTGATTGTCACAAGATTTAAGCCACGTCTACCATTTTTTAAAACGGCGGAAAATGCTCTGTTTCATCAGTTATCAATTATTCAATTAACAAACATAAAATACGTAAAAATAAAGCATACATGTTTCCATTGAAACAAACAAATGGAGGCCCATCTCTGTTCAGACCTGATTTTATATAATATGGATACTGCCCATCTAAACAGGTTAAGCTGCAGCTTACATTGGTTGATTGAACTGAAAAAATTTGTTTAATATGTCTGCATAGAGCAAAAATTGTTGTAAAGTAGCTAGTGTAACTAAAAAAGATTAAACAAAAATGTTATATAAATTAAAATTTAGTGGATTTTTATTCGGCTTATATTTATGAGAATTTTGACCTTTATGAGCCACATAAATAGTAATATCAACAAATTTAAAATGATTACATAAATATATAACTGAGATTGCGTTTACTTTTTATAGAGTCTTCGTTTGCCTTGATATCGATCTGAACTGAAGGTAATATAATTATTTAAACCGAAATAAAATTTGTTACATGATATAACAGTTTAAAAATGTAAGTAAAGTTAACAAATTAAGGTAGTGACTTGGGAAATTTTTACAGCCGGTCAAAAATCTCAAAAAGAAAAAAAAGTAAAATAAACGCAAATCCGATAAAGATAATTATATGACGAAATAAATCAAGTTTTGTTTCATTTTAAAAGCACATATTACTTATTAAAAAGCCCTTGCAAAATAAAAATTTTAAATCGTATGCTTTTTGCGGTATGTTAACTTTTTTAATTGTTGCTTCGTGGTTTTTACTTGAAGTAGAAATGTTTTTTTGATTTTCCAATACTTTAAAATAAAAAAACTGTTGTTTTTCAAAGTTTTTTGCTCTTCAAGCATATATATCTTTCAACAACTCAGCTTATTTTTCTGCAGTTTCATTTACATAATTACTATGCCACTAAGTATAAGCACTTTGTTCATTCTTGCGCCTAGCGATAAAATAAAATATATCGTGTATCATAAGGTAATATATTCAATATTAAGGTAAGATATATTATATATCAATGAAGATATTCTAAACAAGTTAAGCAAATAAAAATAATGCATCGATGATACAAAATCATTTGGGTTGCATCCAATAAAATAAATGCAAAAACGCGATGGTAAATCCAAAGTAAGGTCAGCAATAATCTTTTAATAACAGCAATAATTTTTTAATTTTTTTTAATGATTTCTTTATTAATTTAACTATTTTCAGTTAACTACCTTGATTTTAGTCACAAATATTCACATTTCGTTAAGTTGAGGAAAATAGACTACATACATAATGTCAGCCAAGATTCCTTATTCAAAGTACAATCCAAGCCTCACATCAACTCCCAATCGCAGGAAGGTCAACTACACATTCTACAAGCAGGAAAGCCCTTATTCCGAGAATTGCAATTATAGAAAGCGATATGACATATAGAATTGAATTCGATTTGTTTATCAATGGCCATAACAATCAAAAAAATAACATATTATATTTGTTTTGTTTTTGACATCTGTCCTGATTATTTTTGGTTATTATTTATTCACTATTATTTATTTATAATATTCATTATTTACTAGTTTATGTCATTATTATTATATTTGTAAACCCACCATGTATGAATGCTGAAGTTGAAAGATAGAAAAGCCCGCCACTCAGAAAGTAAAAATGATTTTTCTCTTCATAAATGCCAGTCTAAAGTGGCGAGGTTGAGTTAACAATCTAGTTATATGGAATTATAAACCTAGCATAAGTACGAAAAAAAATCATGCGGGATTTCTCGAAGTATTTGAGTATAAGGGAGATAAACACGGCAAAAGTAAGAAGCCTAAGGTTTTCAGATCAACACGGCAAAATTAAGAAGCCTCAGGTTTTCAGATCGACATCAAGCAAATCTCTCAAAGGCATCGCGACGTTAACAGGTGTTTGTGGCTGACCCTATCCGGAGTAGGACAAGCAATGGGTCCGGTCTGTGCCGAGATTCTGTGGTAACACAGTACGTTAACATGCAGAACCCATGAAAGAAAAATAAATCAGTGTGATACATGGATCAAAGAATGTAGGTACGTTGTCATAAAAGTTATTGAAGCACTATTAAGAAAAAGAGTAGATATCTCCTGTTTTCAAAAAGTTCGATATGGAAAAAAGGGGCCGGATTAATAAAGGTGCTCAAGATAAAGTATGAATTATTTTGGTAAGGACAATAATAGTAAGGAGTAGGAATAATGGTAAATGTACCTTGGATAAAAAAAGTAGTTGAAACAGTAAGGAGCTAGCCACAGTTGCATGATGGTAAAACTATTAACTGGAAGAGTTTGTTAAAGGTTATAGAAAAGAGAAGGATAAAGGTATTGGGATAAGTTAAATTAAACGATGACTGGGATACTAGAAAAATGGTGGTTTCAAGAGGGAGCTTAAATGGACATGTTGGAAAAAATGTTTACGAAAAAGTGCATGGTGGAAATGGGTACAGAGAAAGAAACAAAGATGATGGAAGAATTTTAAATTTAGATTTTGAAACCGCCTGGCAGTTATGGCACTGTTTCCACTTCGTTTGACATGACCAAACCACCGCAGATGGTGTTGCCGGCATTCATCCTTTATATCATCTAAACCAGCACGACACAAGATTTCGATAGATTTGATGTGGTCTTTCAGACTAATTCGTTGCATCCATCGGAGCATTTTCATATCGGTTCGTTGAAGTTTTTGTTCCAGTTTGATAGTCACATTGAAGTTGTTGTTCCAGTTTGGTTGTCACATCAAATCTACCGAAATCTTGTGTCGTGCTGGTTTAAATGATATTAAGGACGAATGCCTGCAACACCATCTGCGGTGGTTTGGTCATGACAAACGAAGTGAAAACAGTGCCATAACTTCTCTTGCAAATGTTGAAGTACCTGGCACACGTCCCAAAGGCCGTCCAAAGAAATCCTGGTCGCAAACAGTCGAGCAAGACATGAAAGCTCTTAATTTAAATGAAATGGATACAACTGATCGTCTAATTTGGCGCAAAAAAGTAATGGCATAAAAAACAACGTCCTACCTCGGGAGAACTGGGTCTCTGGACATTAAACGAAGATTGATTGATTGATTTGAAACCGCCTTGAATACGGTTTTTAGAAGAAATCATGCCATTTAGTAATGAAAATTGTGTCAGGCAGCATGAGCTCGTGGTATATGGTTAAATGCAAAAACGGCAAGGAAAGACAAAAAAAAAGAAGGATAGAGGAAATGGTTAATATAAAAAACGAAGAAGATCATTAAAACATAAGGCTAAAGTGGATGTAGCGATAGCGTCATTGTTTAAGACCCAGAGAGGAGAGAAAAGTTATGGAGGAAGTATATGGAAAAGCTGTTGAAAGAAAATGGGAAGAGGATATCGAGGCAAATATACATGTAACCAAGTATGAGTGTATAATGAATGAAGTGAGTGGGCCTAAAAAAAATGAAACTGGTAAAGATGCGGGGAACTCTAAATCGGTAACAGAAATGTTAAAGGTAAAACAGGTGAATGGGTAATTTGAGGACTGAACTGATTAATTGTTCATTATAGTAAATAGGGAAAAAATTTCAGAAAGTTAGGAGGAAAGGATAATTTTTCCAAATATTTAAGGTAAAGGAAACTCTTTAAACTTGGAATCTTGTTCTATCATCAAGCTTTTGGAACATTATGA